TGTTCTAAACTTGGCCTTCAAATTCTTTGATACTTCTTCCACTGAATGGTGGGTTGCATGTCCTCTTCCCCTTGAATCTGGGCAAGCCTGTGGCTGTTTTGATCAATAGAGTACAGCAGAAGTGACACTATGTCAATTCTAAAGTTAATTCATAAAATGTCAAGGAGCTTCTGCCTGGTTCTCTTGGAATGCTCACTCTCCAGAAGTTTCCTTTGGATAATTCTTCTCAGAACCCAGCTGCCATGCTGTGAGAAGCCCAGACCACACAGGGAGCCCAAACTTTGATGCTCCCCACTCCAGTCAAGAACCCCAGCCAAGTCCAGCCTTTGTGTCATCCCAGCAGAACCAGCAGACCTGTGAGTGAAGAAGCCACCAGATGATTCCAGTCAAAGCTTATGAGTCAGCAGCAGTTCTCTTCCTAGGTGAGGCCCCAACATCATGGAGCAGAGACAACTCACTCTGTGGTCCTCTGTCTGAATTCTTGACACATAGACTACGTGCATCATAAAAAGCTCAATGCCACTAAGTTTGAGGTGGTATGTTCTGCAGCAATGGATAATTATAGTCAAAATAACTAAACAAAAGATAACTAAATGCCAAAGTAGTAATAATGAGATTTAGAATTTTTTAATGTATATTTCCAATTTCTCTGTAATGAATATATATTATATACAGGCCAAACAATATTTTGCAAAGAATCTCAAGAATAACTACAAAAATCCAAAGATCCTTAGGTCTACTCTGTCTGAGATTCATTTCCTGCTTATCCAAGTTCTCTAACCATGTTCTGAAACCCCAAACTGAAACTGAAACTCTGAACTAAGAATGGAAAAGAGCTAAGACCAACCTGTGGATTCCATAAATGATCACGAAATTATTATTTTCTCCCACATTATATTTTTTTTCTTTTAAGAACCCAAAATGATAAAAGGCATTTCTTCACAAATTTTGAAAAATACCTAAGAGCTGTTGAGACGGGTGACTCCCATGACTTACACAGCAAGAAGAAAATAACAAAGGTACATTTGGCATAGTAAATGCCACCAGTTAATTACACAAACAAAATGGAACAAGCTCACATTATGTGAAGAATGTGTACAAGCTCATAAACTGACTTTAATTACTATCCAGACTATCTGAAGGGAGGAATTAGTGTATCGGTTTTGGAGCAAGAGCTTGGTAGATTTTTATATATATATATTTAAAAATAACTTACGTTTGTTAACTCCTTAACAATTTAAAGATCACTTTTGCATATGCTATCACATTTAAGCCTCACACAAACCCCAGATGCATAAACAGACATTTTAGAGACTCTTAGAAACTGTGAGTTTCCTGTGTGGCCCAAGGTCAAATAGCGAGTAAATGACAGAAGACATCAAACGAGTAATCTGACTCTAAGGAGGAAAATGCTTTTCATCAGATTATCATGTAAGCACATTCTTCTTTCCACAGCATTTCCAGTTGTAAGAAGGTGCCCAAAGTGGAAAGGAACATTTCCTGCTCCCCAGTTGTGTGGGCTGAAATTAAAAACCCAGGTATAGTATATCAATCAGGGTCTCAGTCACAAGCAGGAGAAAACTACTCTGGCTAATTTAAGCAGGAAAGGAAATCTGTTGAAAAGATATTGGCAGGGGGAGTGTATAGCTCAAGCAGTAGAGTGCATGCTTAGTAGGCATGAGGTTCTAGGTTTGATACCCAGTACCCCCTCCAGAAATAAACAAATAAACCTAATTACCTTCCCCTTCTGCCAAAAAAAGAATTTTTTTAAAGGCAGTGATTCTCTAAGTGCAATCTGTGAAAATACAGCCTCAGAACCAATTGATGAGTTTATTTAAAAAAAAAAGAAGAAGAAAGAAAAGAAAAGTAAAGATATTGGGCATCTCACAGAATTTTGGGGAGGCTATGAAGCAGGCCAGGGTCCATACTCAGATTGATATGCAATCTTTACTCACTGTTACTGCCCCTGGGTGCAGCCACTGCAACTAACACTTCCACCCCACTGACACTGGACACCGGACCCTGGGCACTGTTGCCAGAGACACTGCACCTGTGTCTCATAATAGAGACAGAATCTAGACTGCTACTAGACAGAATTCTGCTGGGCTCCTTCCTCACACTGTAATTTCGGTTCAAAGTCTAGGTCATGTGCTCTGATTGATTGGCACTGTGCCTCTGCCTTGGCTGCAGGAGAGGCTCAGGAAGTACATTTCTGGTATTTTCAGCTTCTAGAGTGAAAGCCTGATTGTCTCACAAGGCTGCAGATTCCCCTGTCAGAGGTTCATCGGACTGAAAGACAAAAAGAATGAGTGATCTCTGTGTATGATGAGGCCTTCCCACTCCCCTCAGGAGGAAATTGAAGTTGGTATGGATTTTGCACCTAAGTGAACCTGCTGACACCTTATTTGTGCAAATCCTGACTACCAGTAAGTTAGTGGCTATGTGACTTTATTTTCACTGGACAAGGAATAACATACACTTTATAACATCTACCATCTGGCAGGCATCATCAGGAGCAGGTTTACTATAACGCTAATGAAGGAAAATCTTCAGGGCTCTCACTTACAAGGGTCCCTTCCAAGGTCTTGAACTCAGTTTTGTTCCTGTAATTTTGTATTATTTTTCTTTAGAAAGGGACCTGCAATTTGTATAAGCTTCTGGGCCCTACAAAACCTGGATCCACCTCTGAGCACTCTACTAGGTACTTTATGTATATTAGTTCTAATTTTCACAACTACATACAATCATGTAAGGTAGGTAATAAAGGGTAAACATTAAATTCCAAGCATTTGTAATCACCTGCATGCATGCCTACATTCACATTGTCTTTTTTAATAAGGGTGGTACCTTTGTTTGCTGAGGTTGCCCAGCTCAATTATATTTCCCAGCCTCCCTTGCAGTTATGTGAATCAGTTAGCATTTGCTGCATAACAAATTACCCTAAAAACTTGGTGATTTAAAATAATGTGGCATATATGGAGATGCATCTTTCAGATTCCTTTTTGAGTATGGACTCACCAGCTGACAGAGGCGGAATCAGCTAACAACTTTCACACAGAGGCCATTCTCTTCTCAGCGTAGCACACAACCCATGACTGAGCAAGGCAGTGATACAAAGGTCTAGCCATTTCTGTCCAGTGCAGTATTCCTCTAATGGGCAGTCTTTGTTCTGGAGCTCCTTGTTGGCCTGATGGAAGCTTGTCAGGAATATCATGCTCTGATGGTCCCCCCGCCAAACCCTGCTTCCTTTTCTTTTCCTTTCACAGGTATTTTGGGTTTTTTAATTTATTTTATTATTTTTTAGAGGAGGTGCTGGGGAGGTACAGGACCTCGTGCATGCTAACCATGCACGCTACCATTTGAGCTCTACTCTCCCCTATCCTTTCACAGGTATTTTGTATTCCTGACTCCATCTCAGCATCTGCTTCCTAGAGAACCCAGCTTGCAACAAATAACCATTTATTCAGTTCATAATTCTGTAGATCATTAATTTCGGTTGGGCTCAGCTGGGGCAGCTCATCTCTATTCCATGGTCTCTCATCCTCCAGGAGGCTGGATGGACTTGTTCACATGAACTTGTTCACTTTTTTAAATGGCAGATGGAAAGGACTCCAAGAGAGAAAGTAGAAGGCCCTTAAAACCTAGGCTCTGAACTGCCCAACGTCACTTCTGCCATAATCTACTAGGAAAAGTAAATCACAAGTCCAGGCCAGATTCAAGAGGAAGAGAAACAAACTCTACCTCTTGATCAGTGGGATTGCAAGGTCACAATGAAAAGGGTTGGGTACAGGGCAGGGTGAAGAATTATGGCCATTTGCAAACTGTGATAGTAGGTGTGGTCAAGTGGTTAAGTTGTTAACAACTTAATGATAAAATGTTAGCAGACGAAATATGCATATATGAGCCTGAGTCTTAAGACACAGAGGTGTGCCTCCTCCACACCCTCTTTTCTCTCCCCTCCATCTGAAATCTATCCAGTTTTATGCAGATGATATCAATGCAGGGCTCTGGAAAGAACCTGGGTTCTCAAATAACAAGGGAACAGAGCTGCCCTGCTGACCAGGATCATTTACATCCTAGCTGTCACAGAGAGGGAAGAAAAAAAAAACACCTCTTTTCTTTAGACCACTGCATTTTTGGAACTCTTTGTTATAGTAACTCTTCGTTATCCTAACTAATGCATATGAAAATTGATGTAGGTACTGAAATCTGGGGAAAAGTAAAATGTTTAAAGAAGAGCTTTAAAGAGCATTGTTGGGTGTTATGCAATGTAATCCCCTTTTCCCCTGAGTAATCTCATTGGTCTGCATCACTTTTCGATGTGGATTTTGGTTTATATTTTCCCATAAATGTTAATATACTGAATTGGATCTTAAGAATGCATGGGGCAATCAAAAAGGACTACTTGTGTGTGGGCTGCAGTATCATTACCCCATTTTTAGATGGGGACACTGAAGTTACATAGCAAATAACAGTGAAAACAGTATTCCAGTCCTGACTTATCAGACTCCAAACCCATTTCCCACTAATCAGTTATTAGGTTTATCTTCCCCTTGTGAGTATCATTGAGGTTTTATTCTCTGTGTTGTCATCTTTAAAGTGGGCGGAGAAACTGCCTGATCTATCCAATGGCAGGTGGTGTTCCATAGGGATACACTGCAGAAATGCAGCCAGGACTCCAAGACTAACACTCTATTTGGATAAAGAGAGGCAAGAGAGTTCAGCCAAGTCATCCTCTTGCCAAAATTACTCCTTAGAAGAAATTACGACTCATTTGGAATCTTTATTAATTAATTTGATGAGGGAACAGCTGGGCTGGTGCCATCTACGCAGAATGATGAAGGTGGCTCATGTTTCAGCCAGAAATCAGACGAGGAATAGAAGCAGGTTTAAAATTGGCAAAATGCTGCAGCACTTTCTCAGTCTCTTGCCAGAGGCTTTGTTTCTGGCCAAAATTATAATACATTTAAAGGCATTTGCATATCCCTTCAAGCAATATTTGTGTATATGTGTGCACACACACAAAGGATTATATGGAAAATACAACATTTTATAACTACTATGAGGTCAAGATTTAGTATCTTGTAATTTTCTGCAACTGAGCAAGAGGGGGAAAATGTCTAATGCCTGGCATTAAATTTTGCTTTCCAGTTCCAAACAACTGTTTTAAATCTCAGGGCTTAAAGAGCAACAGATTCAAAAAGAAATTTATGTACATAATTAACTACATAACTGATTACACTTGCCTGAACGTACACTTGATTAGTTTAGTGTTTCTCGAGTACAAGTTTCCAAGCAATAGTGTATTTGATGAATTGAAACAGAAATAAATAATGGTGAGAAATTTACTGACAGCTAAATTAAAATAAGATTTTGAAAACATCTTCATATAATTCAAAACTATATTCACAGAAGTAATTCTTCTGTATATTTCATGCAAAACATTCCAAGTAATAATGCTGCCAGAATTATTTCTCTTAGGCAAATGCTTTCAGTAGAGTGGCTCTTAACCCAAACTAGAGGCTGAGAGAAGCTTTGTACAATACCTATTTCTGCTCATCATATTAAAGATGAAGCAATTGAAACCCAGAAAGGATTATTGATGAGTTCACAAACATTATTTTAATTTCATTATTATTAATAATATATTATTATTTTATTATTATTATAATCCACCCCTCTACCCTTAGTGTTTTTATTTAAGTATTTTCTTAATCAATTACTGAAATAAAGAAAAGGAGAAATGAACCCTAGAGGCAAAACTGATCTAAGGATTACGAATGAAACTATTTCTCTTTACCACCAAGGAGTATTTAATA